GATGAGTTAGTAGGTTGAACAAACTATAGGGATAGATGGAGGTAAGATAGACATGTAAGCATGATGGTAAGCACAAGGAGAGAGAAGCTCATCAAAGGTAGATGCGACGGGATACACAACAACAATGGTGGATCATTCCTCTACTGCTACTATACTCTATTGCCATCGGAGCGATGGTGATGAAGATGATGGTGGGAACGATGCTGTCCATGGAGGACTAGCCTCGACCGATCCTTATCCTACGTGATGACACGCAATTTGAAGCAAGCAAACACGACAACATGTCTCACCCTCGTGCCGTCACTATCTTCCCGGTGCTTCGATGATGATGATGATTTGACGTTTGCAATAGCCTCCTTCCTATGCTTGTCGAGAGCAGAGGGTGAGGTGACGTCTCGATAGGCTGGATGGATCTTGGACGTAGTAGTCTCGGGAGGGCTACGGGATGATCTATGATGGTGATGATGCCTCCGATCTGAATCCATGCACTAGCGCATAGCTCCCTAGGGATGAGGCTACCATCCTTGGAGGCTGCTGTCCGTGGATCGTCCTTACTGCCTGACGACCTACTACGTTCAGGTTGGTGATGACCAGGAAGCAGCTTACTCCTATACAATGGTAAGTATGCGGCGAATGAATGATTACTAATTATGGACTATTACCTGATACCCACCTTAGTGGCTTCTGACCTGCTCCGCTGTTCCCCTTTCCTCAGCTCCTTCTCCTTCTCTCGAGCTCGTTTAGCTCGACGACTATACTGTAGAGCAAATAAAGCAACCAGGGTTACAAGGAACCCCACTACGAAGAGTACACCCCAAGACACCCATACAGACGTATATGAAGGTGATGCTTCTATAATGAGGGGAGTAGATGGCGGTGAACGCAATCCCGAAAGGGGCGACTGATGTGTCATTCAAAGTATACAGTGGAACAATGAACTGCTGAATGAAATAGCTCAGTTGAATAGCAAGTCATTACCACTGGGTGAACCGAGGGGGAACGATGAACACCACAGTGCAGCAGAAACAACTATGATGATGTCACACAGGGCGACCGATCTACGACTGATCCCCCTTCCTATCCTTGTCGTAGAACAGTACAGCAAGATACTCATCTACAACTATCAAGTGAATGATACAATAGGGGATTACTACTGGTCTGGGGAGGAGCCCAGACCCCCAAAGGATGAGGCCTCACAAAGCCTTGTTGTACCTGGAGGAGTTGGTGTTCCAGTGTAATCATAGCAACGTGCATCGGCTTCGACACTGGTATCTTCTTGGACTAACATTGGATAAAAGCTTGCGCTGCCAAGCCGGATAGATCTTAGTGAACCTTGAGTGGGGGGAGGAGCGGTACTTCTGTGGAGGTCAGGCGCAAAGAAATGTGGATATCGGCACTGGTGTGGTGAGGCCAATGGTGTGAGGGTAAATCAAGGGCGGGACTAGACGAGTACTTGCATGATCAACTGCACAGTACATGAACCGGAGCACAACTCAAGGAGTCTACGAACACCGAAGCACGACAATATAGCATGTACTAGACATGAGCCTCAGGGTTCACAGCCAACCCACATATCCCCTCGTCCTCCAGCTATCTAGTAGGCTCATCCAGAGACGGTCTTCTCACCTCCTCCCCTTCCCGTTGTATAGTAGCCACATTGGCCCTAGTACTTTCTTCAAACTGTTGTAGGAAGGTGTCCAAGCTATGTATAACACTCTCCTGCCAAGGTACCAGCCTATTCCTTCTATAGTCAATACCCCCTACCTCCCGTGATGTGCGGTCATCATGTGTAGCATTGATGGCGTGCAGGAGATCACGGAGATCCGCAGCAACTCGCTCCTCGTCTCCACTATGGCGAGTTTTACTCCTCCTAGCCCTGAATAGGCTACATCTAGCCCTTATAAGCAGATGCTGTCTACTCAAGGGCATCCGGTACTCGTATTCCGTTCAAGAGAGCCTCACGTATTCCCTTCTCTTGAGACAGCAATCGTCTTACCTACTACTATCCCATAGGGAAATGATAGTCAACCCATAGAGTACCTCTTCGAAAGAACTATCCATTATAGCACCCCACTCTTGCTCCGCCCTCTCACGCTCAGCAGAACACTCTATAATTCGACCTGGGCCCTAGATAGCCATGCTGGGATTCGAACCTGCGACCCCCACTCTGGAGCTCCTCTATCTTCTGGAGGAATGCATCCCCAACGCTGCCGTCGACATCCCTCTTCTGATTCTCTCTCTCCTCTGCTGTACCATCCGACACCGCGATGAGCCTCTAAAAAGATAACGCCGCAATGTGCAAATCATAGGCGTCGAAGTTCTAGCTATATTCGAATCTCTGCATTACTTCTCCAATAGCTGCACATCTGTCCATCCATTTACTGCTATTTCCGTCAATTGTGTCCATCCAAACTTCCCTAAGATCGTCCCTCTTACAGCAGGAGGTCTCCTTGTAAACATTCCGGAGCTGCTCATGGTTTTCGGCAAACTTCGCAGAGAGTAAGCCTTTCACTCCTCCCAGTGTATCCTGCTCCAGCTTATGCCTAACCGCAATAAGACTACGATGTACACCAAGAGGAGGAGGAGGAGAAGGAGCTCTTCAGCCGAGAGGCAACACCTCTGCTCAGTGAGCAATCGCTGTTTCCTTTTGCACATCCTCGATTCCCCCAACACCTCTTCCAGTGCAAACACATCCCCTCTCAGTGCACTCAATACCTCTGACCTCTCTGTTATACCTTCATAGGGGTCTAGATCCTTAACCTACTCACAGAATACTATAGTACCCCCCCAATGTGCGCTCACACTTCCTCATTCCGCTCGACAGCTCGCTGCCTCAGATTCAACAGCTCATGTTTGGTGAGAGATGTCAATGGTATTCCACTATCCGCTCTTGGTGCTGCTCCCGATTGGAATGAGCCTATAGCGGAGTTCTACATGACCATCATGATTAGTTCTACGACTTGCTGTTCTAGTAGCATAGGACGTGCTATCACGATTACTGGGGGTAACCGTCGTTGATGCCGATGATGATTCTTGAGATGTCCTACGGGATGTTATTCGACTGGAAGGCATCGGATGTAGAACGACAACTACAGAAGGCGGCCACGAACGGAGAATGACCAACAGAACATGCCCCTTTAGATTGATGCATATTAATGCTCGATGAATTATTGTTAGTAATCCATGCTCAGCGAAGAGAAGGATGATACTGAAGGTACGGAGATATTACTCTTAGTGGCGGACCGTACCGTGGTGGTGGTGCGAGGAGATACCCGTGGACGGGCTGGTCGAGTGTGGCGACGCAAGTCCCTTAACTCCTGCTGCCAATTATCAATAATCTCCATCAAGGAAGATTCGCTCCCAGGAGCAGACGTCAGTGTCGGTGAACTGCAAGGTATGGACGGTGCTGGGATGTTCTGGATATCATCACTCTCCACATCCCGCTCTGTTTTTACATCCTCTTCGGACTCCGAGAGTGGCGGCCTCCGAGTACTACTCCTGAGGAGAAGGCGAAGGAGCTAATATTTCTGGACACTAAACCGACTCTCGATAATGATGATGGGATATTCCCTAGCCTGTGCCCTGGTACTACTTGTCCTCATTAAACTCCATTGGATCCATCTCGAGTCTCCATCCTCTAACCCCTCCGCTGCAGCACATCGACCCATCACCCTCCTCTGCCGTCTGATAGGTGCCTCCTGATACACTACCATCTAATATGTCAGTAACGCCACTCAGCGGTCGTGAGAGCTCTTCCTCTAGATACGCCCTCGTCCTCGAACCCAGGGTGGATGACGAAAAATGTAGCTCGGTGCCTAGAGTGCTGGCCCGATCGTTGTCTTTCCTAGTAGATACTGGAGATGTCTGCTTTCTACGCTGAGGGGGTGTAGCATTATCATTGTCTGGCGGGGCAAGTGCTGACCACCACCAAGGGTACCTGATACTACGATGTGCCCGCCCCTTCATTGCACGACAATATTTGAGAGATGCCTAAGTGAAGTTGGCATTCAACAGAGCCTATCACCTATCACGTATCTCAGGATCAGTAGGGACTGGCAATTGCTCTCGTACACCCTGAACCCTCGGTGCATGGAACACGTAGGGATCTCCATCTCGCCAAGTGTGGTCCGGCTTGCGTAGAGGACCCCTACCCTTAGCCCTTGCTATAGGCTTCCGACCCCGGGATGGAATGGGCAGCTTCCTCGGCTGCTTATCCTGAGCCACTACTACTCATCATAACCGCCAACCCAGATAGTGATTACCCTTGAGCGACGGTGGACGGTAACTCCCTTCCCTACGTGTTTGGACCGCACTAGCATTATCTTCTTCTTCAAGTCCTCCAATGTGTTCACAGTAGTTGGCACTGTATCAGTCGAATGTATAAGTATAGATGCACCAAGACCCGATAGGAGGCGCATAATCTACATGACGGTTTACAAGGGAATTATATAACGAGCTAGGTCCACCTCCATAACATCTTCCTCATTCTCAACAAAAGGCTTCACCACCTCCTGCACATCTGCCCCCATGTCGTGCTCCTCATGTCTCGATGACGTCGATGAGGGGGTACAAGCAGTGGGATAGTTTCGAGTCAACATGTAGTTCAAAAACATGTTCTGGCTTGACGCTGTGTTCTGCTGCTCCTTAATCCCATAGACTTCGGTAGTCACAGCAACGAGCCAGGCGAAACTTTTGTGGCTCATCAATGCACGTGATGTTAGGATGAGCGGAGCGAAGCCTAGCGGAGCGTAGCATTGATTGCATCAAAAGTTTGGCGATCGGCGGCGTTGCTCAGTATCGTGCTGACCTAATCATCTAACCTTGTGGGTTGAGATGTTTCAAAATGGGTCAAAGTGGGTTCCCCTCCCACCCTCCCAGGGGATAGTTTCGAGTCAACATGTAGTTCAAAAACATGTTGTTGGGGTCAGTGTACGTCCATTTCTGGGAGACACCCTCAGCGAAAATGTTACCTGGGGTGTGGAAATTGCCATGGACTGCCAAACCATAGACCAACTCCAGTGCGAGTGACGAGTCACAATAGTTGGCACGACGTAACAGGACGGCCATGAGTGGAAGATGTAAGTGAGAACAGAAACCGAGGATTTGTGGATGCATTTCGGCTAACCAGAGTTGGCGAGTAGGTTCGAGAGCACGAGCAAGGCGGCGGATTTGTTTGCACTGAGAGCGGCGGAGACGTGGGACGCGATGTTGATTAGCGCAGACAAAGGAAATGGCGTGCTTGAGAGGAGCTGGTAGAGGATCGGTAAGATCGAGAGGATGACACAGAGCTTGAGCATTGCGCAGGTGCTCGTGCGGTGAAGTAAGATTCGAGCAATCAACAGAAATGGAAGTACGTTGTCTGAGAATCTGGGCGTCAGAAGAGGCGTAGTAGTGGATGTCATCATGGGATGTAGTTATCAGAGGATCGCACGCAGGCAAATGATTGTCTGACGGGAGGGGCAATAGCTTGATGGAGCCATCAGGCAGAGTGACAGGATGCAAGATATACTTCTCATGTCGGCGACTCAACCGACGACGCAGCTTACGTCTGTGTTTGTTTATTGAGGAGGAAGAGACAGACATGAAGGAGGTGTGTAATAGCTAGGAAAACTTGCACCCTTACTTAGCTACGAAAGAGACACAAGAGCCAATGA